GGCACGGATGTATACTAAGGGATTGGCTCTTGTTCGGCATATATCGGACTGGGTTTCTCAGCACTTCAGTAGTTGTGGGTACTTCTCAAGAAGTCAGACTTGTTCCATGCAGCTCATTTAGCCTGGTAAGAGGGTATGGAAGACGACGCATTCGCCTTCCACCTTGATAGTACCGTGTATTTGGAGGCGCACTTGGCCCATAGAATGACTTGCGAGGGCCAACTCACGAATGACGATTGACGGCAATATTTCCTCCACAATTTGATTTAGAAGGCCTTCACGAAGGAGTTTGGTTGGCGGGTGCGGGATTTGATCAAAGGTATATCGTTTGGAGAATCCCATCCAGGAGAGTAATACTCGGCCGTTGGGAAAAAAGGGGGGGGGCGTATTTGGCGATACGGGCCGTATCTGGTCGTCATGCTGTCTCTGATCGTGACATAACTGAAGCTTCCTTGAATATGTAGTTGGTTCAGATTCGTTAGAGCCACTCCCTTAAGAGCCTATGGGGCTATCGAAATCACAACACTGTCTGAATGAGGAATAAGAAGTGAAAGGGACCATTTCATTTTTCTCAGCCTCAATCTTAGAAATTCCTTTCCGTTTTTCCTCCACTAATTTTTCGTCTCCATTCATTTTCTTTCTTTATGTTTTTTTTCCAAACGCAAGAGACATTTCTTGATTTTTGATTTCCTGAAAATTTTCTGGAAAACCGGGAAGTTGGAAAAGCTCAGGAACATGGTAGGCAAGATGGGAATGGGATTGTATCGAAAGAATGGATTGGGTGGGGGGGCAGTGATCTAACGGCACCGTCATTTCTCCTATCCCAATACTGTACCTTGATTCGACCAGTAATTTTATCTTTCACGGCATTTGTCTGTATCTAATTTCCTTCCGAGGCACAGGATACTCTGATGGGCGTAGAATCTTGAAACCATTGGGCTTTTTCACATTTATCCAGCCGTTTTCTTGGCCATTTCGCGGTTGGAAAGGAGTGGCACAGTAATCGAGAATGCTATATGCTATGCAGGTCCTGCTCCACCCATGTTCTGGATTAAGCCTTTGAATGGCTTCAACGTAAAAGTCCCCAGGCGCTTATCAAAACTCTACTGCTAAAAGTCATATGGTTGCAATGCCGTTATACTGACTGGTTTCATTTACATTTGATTTCAACATCGATGAAGGATCTGTTTCAGATTCTTATGCGTGAACTACGAATTACTGAACGAGTAGCTGAAATGGTATGTTCACCTCGGCATGGATGGTCACGATCGTGTCGCGTGATGGTTGCTACCAGTGCTAGCCATATCCAGGCTGTGTGTCGGAAATCACGTAAGTCCGAATGCAAAGCAGGGTCAAGCATGGGATAAGGGAAAAGAAGAATTTTTTGGAACCGTTCCCCTCAATAATCTGTTTGAACTTCACCTATGGTGCATTTCCTCTCAACAGTACCGCATTTCCTTTGGAAATGCGATACGACTGAGTTGCGACTGAGGTAGGGGGGGAGGAGGATCCCCAACTATGCCAGTTACCGAAACCATCTTAACAGAAGGGAGGTTTATCGCAACCTCTTTCGAATAGGAATCGTGAACGTCAGTGAATCACTTGGACGCATTTCGCGCTAGCCGTGTGGGCGGGGACAGTAACCGTCGTGCCTTCCTCGCTGATCTACCCAACCTACTCACGTTTTTCATGAGTGACTAATGACGACAGCATCGACAGCATAACGGTTGACAGTCTTCGCCCATACTGGTCTGGATTATGCATTTAAAAACTTGAATCCCTCCAACATTCGAATTAGTGCTGATCTTTTCACATACGACCTCCTCACACTTCTTCCCCTCCTCCGTTTCGTAGCTCTCTTGGCCTTCTCTGAACCACGCTTGACCCTCATTTCCAGTACTACTGACCTACTGAAGAGCCTTGAGTGTCTATGGTTTTCAGGCAATCGTACGCTTGTGCGATACCTCATGCAGTTCAGCGTCTGTCGCTAAACGATGAAATGGAAGTGGTTGTCGCCCTTCAAGCACTCACTAATCTTTCACTGAATATCTCCACTGAGCAGGTACAGTCTTTCATGTTTACAAGCTCGGGTCGTTCTTCTGTACAGAGTTCAGCCTAGCTCAACTATTAGAGGTTCACTCCACGCTGGTCGTGTGGGCGCAACCAGGCCTACTGTTGTGTCTTACTGCTTGGTGCGGAACTCCTTGAAAGGTGCAACGTGCCAGTAAGAAAGGCAGATTGGCGAGGCCGGGCCTACCCATAAACCAGTGTAGAGTGTACATTCAAAGTAAATACTATCAAAGGTAGTGAGTACGATGGCTGGGGGAGAGCAGTTGCGGTCAGAGTCATTGATTGAATGGAAGTGTGGCCAAATGCCCTCTCGCAGCCATCCATCACTGACGTTATCAGTAACCGCCCGCTCCAGCCAACTACACAAATCCTCATAAATAAAATGTTAACTGCAGTTAGTATGGATTACAGAAATCCTGAGCCTACAGAAGGTCGTAGTGAAGTCTTGCAGCACGCCTGTTGCCGCTGCGCCACTGCAAACAAGAGCGAGTGCTAAATCAGTTTTCCTTGCAGATTCCTCAATTTGTACCAGCCATACCGCATTGTCTGTCACGACTATGGGTCCGAGGAGAGCCCAACATCAATGCTCTCCGATTACTCGTCAATCTGAGCTGTTGCCCCGACATGGTGCCGTACATGCTTGGCTCAAAGGTTGGTGTTTGAGCTTTTTTGATTGATTTTCCTATTCCAAGGCAACAGTACCGCGCTGATGGGCGTGGTTGGGCCTATCATTGCGCCTTCCTCATTGGTGCACATCTCTTCACTGAATGAAATGAAGGGGGAGCGCGACAATGAGGAGCGTACAAAGAAAGGCCTCACTCCGCCCATATGATCGCCTGAGCCCTCAGTATCGCACTGCGCTCTATCCCTCGAAGGGAGTCGAAGAGTTGAAAGACGAAAGGCAAAATACTGATAAAGCAATCTGATGGTTCTGAGCAATTCTTCAATAATGCGCCGCACATCTGTATTCCATTTCGATTCATTGATGTGCGATATTAATGGGCCTGACCCGCCCACAAAATCAAGGTGGACCGTGTCCTTAAGAGTGTCAATTTCAGTCAGTGAGTGGTCTGCTACGATTGTTGGACACCGATCGTGAAGAGGTTTTGCTTCGCGCCATCACGTGGCTGTTATGTACGTCGTCAGCAGTGGACGCACTTCATCTGACCTACGACAAAATAGCTTGCCATAATCAGGTTACTGAAGCCTATACCATAAAGGTTCACTGTAATATGAATAATCCCTTCAGGACCCATTCCGTAATCCAGCACACACACTCTACCATTCCATATACGGCCCAAAAGGTCGGGAGGAGCTGGAAGTACGTGCTAGAGAACTGACGCATCACTCGAACGCTGACGTTTGCAATAAAGCTTCAAGATTACTGGAGATACTGAAGAACGTAAGACTCTTTCTCTTGTAGAATCTCCCTGGTCTTTTTAGCACAGCACTTAGTTATGCTGAGAGCATGCTCTCAATTGCATGGGAAAATGGGCGGAGACAACCAACTTTGTGCCCTCCTCAAGGGCCTGCCCTCGTTCGCAGAACGAGAATCGATCGGCGCCGGCTGCGTTCGCGTCCATAGCTTTCGAGCGATGCTGCGATTGTGGCGCGTCGACGCGCGGTAGAGCGCGTTACAGTGCGTCGACTGGCGTCATCGCAACGTGAATGCTGCATAACATCGTGAAAAGATGCGTCAAAAGGCGATGTAAAATGGGTATCCCCACCCGATTGGCCATCGTGTATGTTCGCTTAAACGAATGCAATTGATATTTCAGATTCCACCGTTCGCAACACCCGGCTCGCAATTGAATCGATTATGACAGTAATGGCGGCATCGGTTAACAAATTGCCAACCAATCAATATGTATCTATTTCATTACTGAATCGAAGTATTCGTATGATTGTTTCAAACCCCGTTTCACTTGTTCCGTCTCTCAATTGGTATCGTCTAGTCTTCCATGTCGCCTTCTTGTCAGATTGATTCTACTGATCGATCGTAAATTTCTATCTACTTACTGGCTTTTTTCTCTCTGTTTGCATTTATTTATTGATCGTTCTCTCTGAAACGCGTTTTTGTTTACTGGTGTTTAAAAGGGCAATAACTCTAGTCAATCCTTGACTTCAGTAATTCTGATCTCTTAAAGCTGGTCTCGCCTTCCTATTGGCTGTTGTAGACCTTTCAGCCAATGACAGAAGGGACTGCTCTGACAATGGTAGAATGATCTTGCCTGCCTCCGTGACCTGTCCTGATTTGTACATGCTTTTATCGCTTAATATTGAAATAAAGAATCTGGATTTCTTTCTTAATTGGAAGGATTGTTCTGATCACTCCTCTCGAGATGCGCCCCAATATGAGCGCATTGAGTCCTTTTGGGTCTTTTTGACACCCACGATGACTCTCGGAGGCTATCTGGATGTTCAGAGCTCAGAGATTGGGAGAAGTTTCAAGTTCTTTTCTGCAGGACTTCTTACAAGCCATCCACTCGAACGTGGCGCAGGCGAATTTCAGTTTATGGTTGTGCATTACTGCGGATACGGGACCATCCAAAGGGATCATGTTTGGCCTGAGATTTTTTGACTGCTTCCGATCTCCACCCCCAGCGATTTTTTTGTGAACATCTGGCAAGATGATTGGTCGGTTGTGTAATTGAATTGCACTTACGTAGAGAGCTTGAGTCAAACTTGAAAAAAAATTCCTCCTAGCGCCACGATGTGTCGAACATTATATCCACGTTACAGTCGTCTTCGCGTTCGCGCCAGGACACACAGCTTCTTCTGTGCGGACGATGGTGCCTGTCAGCGCGAAGGGATCAGGCGCTGCGTCTGTCAGTTCTCCGCCCATTGTTGAAGAGAGCAAGCAACATTAATCGGTGGAAAATGAGCCTGGCGCGCCAAATCCTGCTCCCTGACACGCCCAAATGCCAGCAGCGGAAACGAGAACACCTCCTCCGAGTTCTTCGATGAACTTTGGAAAATTTCATCAAATCGTAGCTATCGTCATAATACTGGTAAAAAGCAATGAGGGATTGATTTTTCGAGAATTTACAGAACTTTTTACTTCTTTTCCTGTAAATCAAAGGCCTTTTTACTCTCTCTCCTGTAAATGTGAAGCAGATAAAAATTGAGTGAAGTGTTCATTGTTTCAATATTCTCAACACGTTTTACTACAATCAGATCTCTAAGCTCTTCTAAGGCTCATTCCACGCTGATCGGAATGGGCAGGTATCCCTGGATTATTGCGCTCTCCATTGGTTCACCCTCCTGCCGGTTCAGCCGCGAAAAGCCCCATTGATGAGAAGGGCGCATCTGCCCGAGTGTCCGTCCTGAGTTCTTATACTGCGAGCGGGGAATGAGCCTTCAAAGAAAGAACACCTCAATCGCATTAGCTGAAAAATCTGTACAAACAAAATTTCTGACTTTTTGATTTGGTCGGCAACATCACAAATGAAATACCCAAATCGAGTAAACAAATGTACACAACATCGTTGAGAAGTTAAAGGTCCATCCACCGGTCTCATTAATTACCACAGAATCTTTTTTCAAAGTGATTTATGGTCACATGTAGAGACAATCCACGCTGACCATGTAGGCGGAGAGATTCAAGAGTTGCGCCTTGCACGCTAGCGTTTTATAAGATAGCGCAATGCTTGACTGTTCCCGCTCATACGATCAGTGTGGACTGTAACTCTGAATTAATCCCCTGGAATTTCGTCGGGAATATTATATGCCGTAGAAGAAGAAGGCAGGGTTGCGCTCACCATCTTCGAAAGTGATACGCAGCCACGCCTTCCCCAGCTTCGGGATATAAGGTGTTCCTACGGTTTTGCACATATCCTCATTGTCTGACAATGTAAAAAAAAACACCGTTCACACTTCTAAAATAGAAAACATCCAGGACCATGCCGGGAAATAAATTAAATAACTAAATATAATGACAGCTAATTGCGTCTACGGTAACTACAAGTACACGGTGGACGAGTTTGATGGCACCAGGGTGATGGTGTCACGACATGATGACTCGTTCATTCGATAGAACGCCAATAGATCTACGCCAGTACGTTGCCAGAATACCATAGCCGATAAAATGAATATGTGCCACCATTGGTGAGAACATCCTACGAGGTCAAACGCACCTAAAAATGATACTTTAAGAACAGAAACTTGTGCCTATTTGTCCTAAGAGTGAAGGGGGGGGGGGAGGGGTTTGAGTGCAAGAATGGACTTGCCCGAAATAAAAAGAACGGTAGCGGAATATGAATTTGGTGGCGGAGGGGGGGGACAAGTGTTCTACGGTAGCATTAAAAGGGTAGAATCTCTAAAATATCAGTTGAGGGGAAAGCAAGCATGATACTATCCGAAACTACGCGTAGAACTGAGCGCGTAGGAGCGCCGAGTAGAGACAGTACGGCTCAGTTCTGGCCTAAGCAGCACCCGGGTACAAATGTAAAGCGGAAACAAATATACTCTTGCTGAGCCTTATCGAGGAGATTCCATCCAACATCTTGGCCTGTAGACCGCCTGTTTTTCCCAAACTTATAATCTTCTGGCAGAATCAATGGGGAATTTTAACAAAAGTCTAGATTTTAGCTAGTCGCATTATGCAATGATCTATCAAAGGGCTCTTGCGAGCCTGCGTTGGTGCCTAAGGAACATCCGGTTCCAGAAAAGTGATGCCGTAGAGCCTCGAATGTTCCTAACTGCACCACACAACTTCTATTTGAAATGTTGCATTCGTTGAAAAGAAAGATGAAAAACTTACCCGGACAAAGTCGTTCGGGGATCAGTGTCACGTAGAAGAAGAACGCTAAGGCAATCAATCCATAAAGTATAAAGATGTCGACCAACCAATACTAGAATTTACTAATTCAAAGTGTTCGGAAAGGTAAACCCATTGAAAAATATATCCAATCTAGGCGTATGAATGGGTATCAACGTTTCGATTTTTACTGTACTGGTCGCGCACGCAGAAACTGCATATCTATTAGGTTGTTCGAAAAGTCCTGCGACACTTTGACCAAATTTTTCGAACTAAATTTCTGGTCAGTAAAGGACATCTCCAATCTACAAGGTAACCGCAGTTGATGACTAGGACTAGTGCCTTTCTTTTGCACAGCTTCTCATTTCCATTCTCATAGAACTACGGCAACTGTGGTAAAAAGAAGAGGTGGACCTCATTCTCGAGTTGAGGTTGATTTTCGGAACTTTTGCTTTTGAAGGATGCGATAGTGACCAAAGGAGGTGGTAATTAGAGGCTGCTAACTTTGTTAAATAACCTGAGTACGGTCGCATTCTCTGATCGAAATGCATGATCTTTCGGCGTAGCCTGATCCCCACAGCGGTCCTCGCATTACCGAGTAGTAGAGAAAAATTGAGTATTTCTGAATGAATTCAAGCGTGACG